TCCAACAGGGGAGGTTTAGACTGAACATTAGGAAAGAATTTTTCACCCAAAGAGTGGTCGGGCATTGGAACAGGCTGCCCAGGGAGGGGGTGGAGTCACCATCCCTGGCTGTGTTTAAGGGACGTTTAGATGCAGTGCTGAGGGACATGGTGTAGGGGAGGACTTTGTAGAGTAGGGGAGATGGTTGGACTCGATGATCCCAAGGGTCTCTTCCAACCTGGACCATTCTATGATTCTATGATTCTATTGAAAACTCTAGAGCATGCCAAGCCACCAGGGAAGAAGCACAAGCATGAGGTGACTCACTGGCAGCCCCCCAGCAGAATCCTGCTGTCGGGGTGCAGGCACCCACCCCATGGTGTGGCCAGGCACAGCCTGACTGCGCTGGATGCAGGGAGAACACCCCGCTCAGCCCCAGCCGCCCAGTGGCTCACCAGTATGAGTTCCCAAATGGTACCCATGGGTTGGGATGCTCACGGACCATCCTCCCCCCACCCATGGGCATCAGCCCTGGGGGAAGCAGCAGGGTGGGGACCCGGTGGTACCCTGACACCCCCTCCCCTGAGCCCCCTGAGGAGCCAGGCTGGTACGTGTCATGCTCAGCCTGGCACGGGGACTCCTGAGCCACGGGAGTGGGATGGCCCAGGGTGGGGAGGTCTCGATCAAGCAAAACGCAGCCTGTGACAAGGGAGGACCAGTCACCCCACACTTCCCAGCAAGACCCCCTCTTCCAAAATCCTTGTCTGGTCCATTTGCACCCTCACCCAACACCCCAGCCTCGGCAGCGCAATCCCTATGAGTGTAGCTGGGGATTGGAGTGGCCGGGGTGTGGGGCTGGGGGCCACCAGCTCTCGCCTGCTCTGCACCCCTCCTGCTGTGGTCAGGGCTGGTGTCACCCGTCTCTGAGCCCCCACAGCTGTACCACCTCCTTGTGTGGGGCCGCCACAGGAAGAAGGAGGAGGAGGAGGAGACACAGAAAGCCGGGGGAAACGTCAGCCCAGAGCCATGAGAGGAGACGAAACACAGACAGGAAAAGGAGGGGAAGGAAGAGACGGGGGCAGACAAAGACCCCGAGACCCAAGCCATGCCTCAGATTGGACCCGACGCATGAAGGGAAAGACGTAATTTATCATGTCACGCACAGCCCCCCAGCTCAGCCAAACTCCCCGGCCCCAGGGAGCACTGCCCGAAGCAAGAGGGAGGCAGCAGGAGTTGCTGCTGCCCCACATCTGCTCACCCCAGGGGAGCGGGTTCGCCTGGGGGGGCAGGTGATGACCATGGGACGTCCTCCCTCTCTGATAAGTGCTGAACCCCATGAAACATCCCTGTGCCGGCTCCAGAAGGCAGCCTAGGGAAAGCAAGAGCAGAAAGAATCTTCCCTCCATCCCCGGCAAGAAGCAATGATGGACCCGGCCAGAGGTGCTCGGTCTCCAGGGCACCAGGGTGGGAGGGACCCTCTGTGCCCACTGCTCCCTAACAGGGATGGAGTTGCCTCTGGAAACACTCCTCTCTCTGGCTCCAAAATCTGCCACTGGTGAGACCGACGGGGTGCACAAGCAACTGAAGAGCAATGGGTTTCAAACGGGTTCCTGCTGGTGCCTTGGTCCCTGTGGATCAGAGCCTGTCCTGCACCCCATCGCTCTGCTGAACCTCTTCCATGCTCCCCACACTAGAGGCCACCACACTGTGCCCAAGGACTGAATCACAGAATCACAGGCTGTCTAAGGTTGGAGGCACCTCCAGAGTTCACCTTGTCCAACCCCCTGCTCCATCAGGGCTGCCCAGGACTGTCACCCTGACAGTGGAAAAGTGCCTCCTGATGTTCAGAGGGACCCTCCTATATGTCGGTGTGTGCCTGTGGCCTCTGGTCTTGTCCCTGAGCTGAGAAAAACCCGGCTCTGTCTTCTCAGCAGAAAGCCCCCGGCAGCAGCCGAGGATGGTACATGCTCCTGGGAGGAGGGAGAAGTTTCCCCCATGGACAAGCTCCGAGGAGTGGCACAGGCCAACTCCTGTGGCACGTTTTTCCCTTTAAAAGGGAGTGGGTGGCAGAGTCCTGCAGAACTCAGGAGACGTCCATGTGCATTTCAGCACAGGGTTCAGGCCAGCAGAAAGACATTGGCTGTGGTACCACCCCAGAGAAGAGCACCCCTAACTGCTGCAGTGCCACCGGGTCACCCACACCAGGATTGTCCCATGAAGATGTGACTCATGGGCTGGGCTTTATCCTGTACCTCCTCACCCACCAAAAACCCACATCAAGATCCCTCCTGGAGGAGGGAGCAGCTTGGGGACTAGCTCACCCCAAAATTGTCCCCCCAGGCAAGCACTGAGCCGTGCCACCGAGCCGAGCTCCTGCAAAGGCAGTGGTGGCTGGTGAGTCCCTCCTTGATCCCCCCCATCCCTGCTGATCCCACGGCACCATTCCCTCATGTCCTGGCGGTGCCACCGGCACAGGAGGTGGCCGTTTGCATTCTCCACTGCCACCCGTACTGCCATTTGGTAACTTGGGCACCAAAGCAGAGCCAGGTCCCTCTGATCACAGTGGGACACAGCTCAACTCTTCGAAGGGGTCAGGGCAAAGCTGGGCTTAGGTTTCAGTTCAGCATCACAGTCCTTAGGTCCCAGGGGAGAATGCTGCAGGGGCAGAGGGGCACTGGTTTTATCCTCCTCCCACCAGCCTGGCAAAGCTGCTGCCCACCA